TGTGGAAGAATTAAGAGGACAAACCTTTCATTCTGAAAACCATTCATGAACCATTCAGCTTCACAAAGACAAGTCTTTTTTTCTGTGAATAAAGCCCGGCGACAGCGTGTTCATCCTCCCGGGGCTGTAGATAAAGGCTGGCAAGTACCGTGGCGAGTGCTGAGCGCTGAGCTGGGCGAGTGGTGCTCAGTGCGGCAGAGCAGAGCGGCAAGCACACATGGGAGGTCGCTTCTTCTCAGCAGTTGCAAACCAGCACTGATCATTTCAGACGACTCTAAGCTCCCTACAAAGGGAGGTCCCTATTCAGACACCACAGGCAACCAGGCAGCTTTGAGCAGCGTGATCTGTGGTTTACAGCAAGCTCCTGGAAGCCAATTATTCTGTCCTACTGCTTACATACTAACCAAACAAATATATTTTTAAGTCTTCACTAAAAACGAACGCCCCATGTTATATTATAGGAGCTACACGGCTGGTTTCTTTTAACTGAACATGTCATTTATTTAGATAGCACCACAGTGAACACAGTCACTTTACAGATTCCTGGCCTTCAGAGCTTACAATCTAAGAAGATGCAAGAAAAATTGCTCCACCTAAAGCTGAAAATGAAAATTGTCAGGTCAAGGAATGTTGCTGTGTGAGTTCATCTTACTCAGCGCTGCTTTGCAGCATCTCACCCACATGTGTTTGATACTTCTAGCACTGCGGGCTCCGTTTCTTTGCTTGTGCCACGCGGGTCCCTCGAGAAGACTGCAGCTGCTGCTAGGGTTTCTCGTGTTCCTTACGCCCACAAGGCTTTCACGTCATGCCTGCTGACATGATGCAGGAGGAGGGTTTAGAGTGCTGGTGCTGGAGCAAAAGCAGGTCAGGAAGGAAAAACAGTCCATGCAAGACAGCTACAGATGACGCAGGAGCCCATTTTACTGTACAGGTTTTAGTCAATGGCTTTTGTTGCTAACATGAGCTTTCCTGCACTAGCAAAAAATATTTAGAGACATCAACCATGGATCAGGCTTTACCTTAAATCTGGTACCTCCGGCATCACCAGCTCCTCCCAGGCTGGGCAAACGTGCGCCGCTTCCGAAGCTCCGGGGTTGCTGCCTTCCCTGCAGCCGCCCAGGAGCAGTGCCCGAAACGGCGCCGGGCGCCAGCGGCGGCCGCGGGGCCACCCGCACTCCAGGCCAAGCGCAGCCGCCCCCTGCACACGCGTGCGCCCCCCACGCACCGCAGCCCCCGTGCCACCGTCCTGCACTGTGCAGCTCACGCTGAGCCCAGCTGCGGGCAGGGCTGCACCGGGCAGCAAGCAGGAGCCTGCAGCCGCTTTTCCGGAGCATCTGCCAGCACTGGAAGCTGCTGTGCAAAATCAGCCAGCTCGAGCACAACACCAAGCGAGTATTTCAAATCCAGGGTAAGAAAAATACAAACTTAACCACTCTTAAAAAAAGAGGTTTATTCGTTAGGATCACGGCACTCAGCCGGACTCAAACGGACGGTCGCTCTCAAGCTTCACGTAAGGAGCACGGACTCTGCAGTTTCCCTTAAGCTACAGGCATTATAAGTCACACAAGTTCAAGGCATAGCAACAAGCACTTTTGTCTTCTACATTTTAGAGAATTTGCTCGTGCTCTTCAACAGTTACCTAGGTCCATGGTCGCCACTGGCTCCAGTAAACATCCTTGCAACATTTATCTCAGTTTGAGGGCACACACAGAAAAAATACGTTAAAATGCCCTAGCAGAGGACTGCATAAAACATGCAACTCTGCCTGGATCAAAACAACAACAAAAAAAAGCTTTTATGAGCTCCGTTATCAACCTGTATTTATGCATGTTTTAAGAAAGCAATTTGTATAGCTGCTAGAGTATTTTTCCACATAATGAGAATTATTTAAAAATGATCCTAAAAACATTTTGTGCCAATATGGCAAAGTTGTTAAAAAAATCAACAAAGTTAAACCAGGAGTCAGTAGTTTGTGGAAAGCACTGAAAAAGGAGAGTCCGTTTCATTTTTCTTCTACTTTTGTCTTCCTTTAGAGGAGAAGGGGTACCTGCCTGTGAGATACTGCCCTTCGGATTTCAAGTTTCTTGCATATTTCTCATCTGAGCTCTTCTACTTATTGCATCAGAGCCTCCTCCTCGGTTAAGACCTGATGTCAAAGCAAGCACCAGTGGAACAGCACAGGCTCTGCATTCCAGTAGCCTTTCTGCAAATAAACAGGATAAGGATTTTCCAGCACCTTCCAGGAATTACCACTGCTCTTCTGGTAGAATGGAGAGGACTGCTGCAAGTTAATAAATATGCCAATAAATTACACCCTTCTCCCTACAAAAAGCAGCTGGTTTAGATTATTAACATCAATAGAAACATTATCTATGTTTGGATACAAACATCCAAGAGGTAAAGTGTCCGTATGTCTCATTCAGACAGGACACACAAACAGCTCAGAAGAGTCAGTACCACGCAGGTTTTAGCTTTGGGGGATGATCCTCTAGTTATCTTTCTCTATAGTATCACATTCTCTCTCCATAATTCCCTTTGAATGACGTAAGAGGTTAGAAAAGAGACAAAACCAAGTGCTTTAGTACCTACCAGACCTTCAGAGAACAAACGCTCTTATGAAAAACCGTCAATGAACACACATGAGTTGTTCTAGAGTACAAAAAGCAAAGACGGTGTAAAATATGACACATATTCTCTACTTTTGCTATAGAAGGCACATTTTGGGCAGTTTTAAATGTGCTAAATGTTTTGTCTCCACTGTTTAAAGGACTTTGTTTAAAACAAAAGAGCATTTGCAGGAGGTCTTGGTCAGCAGCCAACAAGAGTTGCTGGGGAGATAGGATAAGGTTACTTTTCCTGGATTGTTTTTCTCAGATCCAGTGTTCTTATATACATATAAAACCTGTTTAGATCAACCTTGGAAGGGTGACCTGCAAAAAAAAAAGTTTGCAGAATGAGACTTCTGTGTCAGCTCCTGGTACTTTTTGTCTTCAGTTTTTTGTTGATGCTGCTGCCATGGCCGATTTCATGTTTTCGCGCGTTGACTTGAGCTCCTCCAATTCTGTGTTTAATTTGCTGATCACCCATTCCAGGGCATCTCGACCCTGCCAGAGAAACACAGTAATTTAGGATCAGAATAGATACAATTTCACGACTCATGCTCCTATAGTTTTTCCTCTGTCAGACGTAAGATTTGCTTTAATTTTTTTTCATCTCCTGCAGAGTTTGACACAGGATTATATCAATAATTTCTTAGCAGCTTCTTACTGGAGTTCAACTGCACAACCCACATGCAAGAACTTAATGCAATATTGGTGTGAGCTGCCCACGGGCCCCCGTGTAACAAGCCTAACTCAGCAGGAGTCCCTCCCGCAGGAGTGCTGCTGTTCATACACATACTGCTCAACACACGTGTGGGAACCTCGAGCTGCTGCCCCCGGGATCGCTGCACAGTCTGGGAATCCCCACGGCGCCCCGTGCTCGTGCCACCAGCCAGGCGCTGCCTCTCGCATCCAGGCACCATCCCCGCTAGTGGGAATTGTCTCGGCGCCACGGGAGCTGAAAGCCAGTGCGCTGCTCACAGCAGCCAGATCCAGCTAAACAAGCCCTTGGAAAACACGGTGCCTTATGAGGACCCTGCAGCTGGCTGTGCCACAGCGACCATGACATGAGCGCCCAGCCCCGCAACGAAGGCAGGGACACAAACAGGTGCACCTCAACTAAGCTAAAGTTCTAAACTTCAGCGCTCCACATCCTCAGGATAATGGTTTTGCCCAAACCAGCAGCTGTTGGGAGACCCGGAAAACACCTGCGCTCTTCTCATCCCCCAAGCAGCCAGAGACATGCATCAGTGTTACCCTACAGAGGACAAGAGGTGAAGTGACAAGGAGCCCCGCGGCTTCACCCTCACCCAGAGAAGCCTGAGGTAAAGGGTCGAGCCCCAAGGGCCCAAAGTTGTCAGCACAGCAAGGACCAGCGTTCAAACCTCCACAGAGGCTGGGCAAAGGGCTGCAGGAAGCGCCTCCCACACACCCCTTTATTCTGAACTCTGATATACTATTTTTGCTGCAAGCACTGAGGTCTGCATTTCTGGGGAAAACAAACTCTTCTTCTCCTTAGAAGTGTATGATCTCGCTTCCGAGTTCCTTCCACTTGAGCACCGATCGGACCTAGTTTCAGCAGACTTCCCCAGCTCTCAGCCCTGTGCGAGACATGGGACCCGTGGGGAACCCTGCGCAGAAGCAGCCCTGAGAGCAGGCTCCTCTCCGGCGTGGTGCCGGGCTGCAGTGACCACGGAGGAGCCGAGGCGCCTCGAGCGCGGAGCAGGAGCGCGTCTCCGTCAGCCCCCGGCCGCACGCCTCCAAGTCAAGCCGAAACGTCCTCTAACGTCCTCCCAAGAGGAACGTCCCCTCAGGTAGCGCGTGCACCGAGAACCGAGCTAGACAGCAGCAACTTCGCTGTTACCTTTATCTGACCGCGCAAAGATGAGGCTTGTCAGACCAACAGCTTTCAGGTCGAAAACGCTCCGTAGGAAAACCACTGAGATTCTTCTGAGGGCCTGACTGCGAAACGACCAGGTCAGAGTGCTTTAGCTGATGTGTTCATTAGCAACAACCAAAATTCCCACTTTCAAACTAGACTACCAAAGTACTTCCTTCTGCTCTTTAGATTACACAGATCCACACACATTTCCTTAGTCCTGCCTATGCCATACACCGTACTTTGCAGCTGAGAATAAACCCATAACACTGGTGAGAAAGTTCCATAGTATCTTGCATGGGAATTTAGGCACGAAACCTTAAAGAGCTGCAAAGCCTTTGGGTCCCACAGGATACCCAGTTGTGAAGGATCTGACAGAGGAGGGTGCGTGAAGCGCCGCGGTGCACGGCCGCGGCTCGCCAGGCAAGCGCGCGCAGCGCGCGGTGGGCGGGAAAGCAGCCGCCGGCGCCGAGCGGAACCAGAGCCAACAGCAAACGCTCGCCACACACGCTGATCCCAAAACAAGCCCGGCGGAGAAACTCTGCATTCTTAAAAGAAGCAGCACGAGGACTTTTTTTAAAGCAGTCTTATTAGTTGAAGCGTTTGCTCATACAGGAATGACAGGGGTGGGCTAGGCTGACTAGTGGAAGGAAAATAATCAGCACAGAGGTAGCGCAGAGGCAACTGCTTTTAGCTCTCTCAACCCTGAGGTGAGATGTTGTAATGGTCACACTGCTTAAGGGACACGTGGCTACTGAAATGAACATAACTGCAGAAAAGCTGGTGTTCTTACAGCCTCCGGTTTGAACAGATCTCCACAGAAATTGACAGAAGGGCAGCAGTATTCCTCAGGAGTAAGAAAAGCAAATACGGCGTCATTATGCAAAAGATTTCCCTGGTTAGGCAGTGAGTTTTGAGAAATCAATTTCATATCCTAAGGGTACAATTCAGTGCTGTTTTTACAACACCAGTTCCAGTGAGTAACCAATTCATTAGTTCCTTCAGGTCCCCCTTTTACATAGAGAAGCCACAGAAATGGGGATCGGAGCCCGGTCACTCAGAGGCGAGACCCGCTCCCGAGCCTTGTGAGGCACAGGGACCGTTCCCACCACGCTCCGCGGCTCCACTGCACCAACTCGGGCTCTTGGAGTACAAACACGGGCTAATGGAGCCATTCCAGCCCTGCCCTGCTCTAAAACTCCTGTGCAATGAGCGTGTTTGCCATTCCTGTACGTGAAGTGCATAAAACACACATGCAGGTTAGTTTATGAAGTTCACATCACAACAGGCCATGCACACGTTTGCTAGGAAGCCGAAATGCTGCAGCAAGAAGGATAATGCTGGCATTACCACTAGTTAGCATAACCTGCAGGTGTGGAGAACTGCTAGCTTAGAGCGCTCTCAGAATTTTGAATTATCCACTCAATAGCATCCCACCCCTGGAGCAACACAGAAAAGATTTACAACACATGGCAAATGACTTTTTCCATCATCACTGCAATAATAAGGTATCACCTGCCATCTCTAAAGCTCAGAGCAAAGGTTCCTGATTCTTCAGAATGGTAAAACATTTTCCAGTAATTTTTATAAAGCCTAGGAAGGGTGCTGAGAACACAGAAGCGCAGCAGAGCATTCTAGAAGAGCTGGTAAAAGTATGGTGGGTTATAGGTGAAGAAAGGACTGCTAACAGCAAGCACAAATTCCTGCTCAGTTTAACATCTCTGAATAGAGTCTCTAGTGAAACGGACGGGACAGGGAGGTGCTTTTAGACTCTGAGGCTCCAGCAGCGCAGAACAGGCTCAGATTCCGGGCACGCTCACCCTGCTGTTGGGCAGCAACATCTGCATGTCAGCAGCAGCTGCGCTTTTTTCCTTCCGTCTCAGAAAATATCCAGGACAAAGTGCCTCAAGAACCAGCAAGAAGCACTCCCACAGACCTGCCCGTGCTTAAGCACGGCCCTGCACAGCCTGCTTTTACAAAAAGCAAGCACAAGACAGGGCAGTCTGGGTAGTGCTGCCTGCAAATGCCAGAACAGCCTCATCCCTCCACAGAATAGGCCTCTGCTTACAGTACTTCAAGCCAAGGGCAAAGAAACAACTCAGGAATGGATAAGAACTAGATAAGCACAGAAAACACGTTATAAAGGCTGAGAGGGAAGTTACCACTTCACTGTCAGCCTTTAACTCCCGGGAATGAGATGACCGTTTTAAAAAGGTGCTTTTATTATTAAAGGGGGAAAAAAAAAAAAAAGGTAATTGCAGCATACACCTAGGGGGTTGTTTTACAATGTATAATTCTAGAAGAAAAAAAGGATTTTTTTTCATGCTTTGGTAAATTATAGTGTACTTGCTGAGGTCCCACAAAATGTCAGCTGAAATTCTGGGCACAAAGTTTAGTGAAATTAAGCATGGTATTCAGCACACATGCTTGAGAATCACTATTTCACCACCACAGGAGAGCAGAGTAAAGATGACTTACTTTTCTGGCATTAGAAGATATTGTGCTTGCCATTAAGCTTTCCAAGTAACTGCTCAAGCTAATGCCTTTGACAGTAATAATTGCTTCTTGAGTTAGCACAGTTCTGTAAAAGAATACAGCAAATTATCAGCTAAACTGCATAGGACTAACATTGTCTCCTATGCCTCCCTTCCAAAAAAAAAAAAAAAAAAAAAAAGGAGGCGTAGGAATTCCTCACTTACTTCTCAGGGTTTTCAGGATGAGGCGTGTAAACCAATCTCTCATCAACAGACACCAAATTTGTGAGAGTAATCTTAAAAAGAAAAGAAAGACCTGAAATCCTTTGGTTTTGCCTTTCATTTGTCTTTTACTAACAGCGCGTCTCAGTAGCACAGCACTCACACACACATGAGAGACAAAGCAGTGTAAATAGAAAGACACAGTCAGTAACAACATCCATGAAGTGTGATGCAACTTCTCCTATCCTAGGTCTATTTATCATCAAAGCTCTTATTCATAACAGAGGCACAGCAGCTGCTGGTTTTCATTGCAAGCTGAACCATATCCGATTTATGGCATGCGGTTCAGAGGGGCTGCTCAAGGCCAAGACCACCTGGACACTATGCTGAGCGTACAGAAGATTAATACGCAGGAAAGATAAGCTTTTTAAACAAAGACAAAGCACTCCTCTGGACAACTCCATTTGAAGTTTTAAAGTTAAAAGCATCCAGATGATCAAGATATTGCATAATTATCTATATATTGTGGGGAAAAAAAAGGTGTTTCAGATTGAACTTTCAATTGTAAGCATCACGGTAATGTAGAGTAAGTTACTTGATCAAAAGTCAACTTCTTTTTTTTAATGCATACTCTGAGATACAGCCTTATGTTCAGAACAGAAACATAAATGCTTCATCCAAAAGTATCTGAAGTTTCCTGTAAGGGCTGGGGAGAGTGCCTTCATACCAACCTGGAGATGGAGAAATGGCCTCCTCCTAACAGAACGAGCAAACACACATTACTTAAAGCTAAGAGATATGAGACATCCCCTCTCCAGAATTAGCTGTCAGAAACTTATTAACCAGAAACTTCACTCACATTAGTTGAGCAAAGCTCCATCTTTTTTTCCACTGGATCTACCACAGAATGTTCCTCAATGTAAGTCAGAGTTCTACTTGTTCCTAAAATCTAGAAGCAAAACAAAAAGTACAAAAGTTAAAAGGGTCAAAATAATAAGTTTCAAGTGCTTAGTGACCCCAAGCAAATACACAGCAATTAACTGATACTGAAACACAGTAATTAGTAACAAGGCTACACAGTGGAAAATGCTATCAGCCATGTAAAATGGCACAGACCAGGCCGAAAGGCGTGTATAGACATACACGTTGAACATATTAAGGCCTACAACATATGACTGCTACAAAGTATTCTGATTACAGCTGGTGCAGTATTTCTGGAAATATATTCCCTATAAATTAAGCTTTTATTTTGAATGCAGCCCCGAGCCAGCTGATCACAGCAAACTGCGTCCCACGCACTCGTACCGCTCTCACGATGCTCGGCAGCCCCCACTCCGTACTGAGCAGCCGGTGACTGTGCAGACGGCCCCGACTGTCCAGGCTTCTGTCGAGCACATCGACTCCCACCACACATGGATTCATTGGGTTAGGATACTTCCTCATAGCAGCTTTGATCACGGTATCCCACGGGTGCCTGCAACAAGAAGAGACAACATTTATAACTAGGCTGACTTTAAGCGTTCAGGTTCAGCTGTGCAGGTTAGGGGCTCCCAAGAGGCCTTCAGAATTCAGTGATGCTTGGAAAGAGAGCAAGCAAGAACTGATATACACATGGAAAAAAAACCCTTTCGTAAATTAAAGGAAATACCGACAGAAATAAAGACAAGAGGCATCAGTAACAAATGGCTACCAGTGAAATTCCACGAGTGAATTCCGATTAGCTATATGGAAAAAGAAAAATAAAAAGCACACGGTCAGCGTGGCTGAGCCTTGGAACGGGCTGTCCACACGGGCTGCTGAATCGCCAGCTGTCTGAGAGCTCAGCCCAAGAAGCAACCTGATCTAACCTTTGAGTTTGTCCTGCTTTGAGAATGAGGGCAAACTTTGAGCTTAAGTGACCTCCAGAGGCCCACGCCTACATTTCCTACATAAGTCGAACACACCAAATAAAGGAAAAAGGAAGTAGGAAAGGCCAGTGAGCACTTACAGCATAAACAAATATCTATAAATTTCAAAACAAACAAACAAAGCAGATTTTCAGAAGCCATGTCAACCTTAAACCTCGAGGCACATACACAACTGCTCCCCACTAGCCTGTTAGCGTGACGTACAGTTCTGTCTACTCTTCTCATTGCTACAGAGCAGTTTTTTAAACAAGTTCCAGCCTCAGTGACATCCATGGTAATCTCAAACTGCCGGAACCAGAGCAGTGGAGAACAGGCTGTTCACAGCTTCTTGTGCAGGACTCCATACATCTTGCTCCGAGATACCCACAGCAGCCCTAAATAAATCACGGGCTTGGCCCAACATAGTAATGTGAATTCTTGAACCATGGTATCTGTATTCAGAGTAATTGATACATGGAATGGAATTAAATGTTTGTAAAATACCTTTAAAATATGGTATTTGTCTCAAGAAGGCTGAAGTGTGCCAATTTGTACTGAAGTTATACTTAGCATCCTAAATAAATTTGATTTTCAAGAAAATTATTTTTTGTCTTAAATTAGATCATTATAGAAGAGGATAAACAGTACAGCAAAGCAAGAACAAACAGAGGCTTGCAAAAATACATTATTTTCTAATAAGAGCAAAAAGGTCTTTCAGCTTTAGTGGTGCAACCAAGGAAGACGGGGTGCTCCATGATCACTGCATATGGAGAGCGAGAGAACCACTCCTCCCTCCAACTGCCGCTGGATTGAGCTGGACACGACGAGGAAGTTGACTATCTGACCATGCATCATAACCTAAACACCACAATCAACTAAAGGCACATGAGATGACAAGGTCAGATTGCACTTAAGTCTCCTTGAGGACTTAACAAGGGAGCCAGAGACCTAACACTGCACAGGGAAGCTCCAATGAGGCCTAATATTTATGTCACTTTAATTATGTCAGTGTAAACTTAAAAAGGTACAAAACCACACATTTGGATGTTTTCTAAATGTTTCAGTAGCTATCACTGTACCACTCAGGTTTGGAGATTTTTAAGAAACGAGTCATTGGTGGTATTTTAAAAACTCTACTACTGACCTGGGAAAGCCAAATTAGGTGACAGTTTGGACACAAATCTTCAACCTGACATAAGGGCCCTAAAATAATTGAAAAGTCATGAAGCAGATCAGGAATTTGCAACAACACTTCCATGTACCAATTCACGCTCCTACTCAGTTTCCTTTCCCTGTCTTGAAACTTCCAGGAGTTGTCCTTCTTCCATCTCCTCTAAGCAGTAAACACTAACTTCATCCCTGCCTCACCCCCTGTTACATACCTGCGTTTGCTGCCCTTGGGTTCCCGGCACGCACCTGCCCTTGCTCCCGACAGTGCCATCCTGCCGTCCTTAGCGGTCCCCGGCTCTCTCCCTGCTTCCAATGGGGACGCAGGGCACACTGGCAGGTCGGCAATG